TTTAAGAATTTTTTTCTCAATTCCTTAGTTTGAGTTCAGATATGCCCGAAGGTGCATCCGAATCCTTCAAACCAAGGCTCTGATACCAACTTGTAACGATGTAATTTGTCAAAATAAATTTTCATTTTTCAACACAATAAAACTCATATAATATTCTCAAATCACATGTTATCAAGTGTCATCACAAATAAACATATCCCAGAATCTCAAAAACATAATCTCCTGCCAGTGTGTACAAATCATGTTGGCGCCTTCCCGGGATCCTCGCTGGTACCTGAAACACATATCACATAACACGGTAAGCATAAATGCTTAGTGAGTTCCCCAAAATACCACATGCATCACATAATCCACGCGAGGCTATAACGTGGATGACCCTCTGGTCAAGGTGTCTCAGCGGGACCCTCTAGTCCCGTAGCTCGTTGGACCCTCCGGTCTGGTCTATATAACACATAACATACATATAACACAATGCACATAAATCTCAAACATACACATCCACATAAGACCCTCCGGCCTGCACATAGATACCACTCTAGGTAATGTATAGTGAGAAGACTCACCTCGGGTAACTCGGATAATCTCGAATCTCGAATACTGATCTAGCCTCCGCCTAATCAAATAAACACTTTTCATCTAATTAACAGCAGCTCTCAAGGCTAGATTGACCCCCCTTATAATTCCTCAGAAGGGTAAAAGACCATTTTACCGATCCAAGACCCAAAAGCCCAATTGTTGACCAAACACTAAAAGTCAACGAAAGTCAACTCAGTCAACGGTCCAACATTGACCAAACTCACCGAGTGCACTCCTGTGACTCGGCGAGTTCATATGCATCTTTGGAATCCTTCTAAGGCCTCACTCGACTCATCGAGTTAACCTTTCACTCGACGGGTTACAACTGATCCCGAATCGCGGGGCAACCCGACTCGACTCGTCGAGTCCTCTCATGGACTTGACGAGTTTCCTCCATGGCAACTCCCAAATGACCTTCTGAGGTCAGATTTGTTTCTCTAACTTATAGATCTGACCTGTAAACACTCAAAAGTCACGTAAAGGTCCAATCTTTATGCTCATGCAACACTCATATGGCTCTATTTGATGAATTAGCTCTTAATATGACAACCAAGATCCAAAACCCCCAAAGGGACTGCATAAAGCTAGATGATTGGGACTCTCTGGACCTCTCAAGGTCTAGATCTAAGGTCTATTTCACATTGGGACTTCTCATGCTTCTTATTCCAACTCAAGAAAGGGTAAAGAAGAAAAGGGTCGAATTGCTACCTCAAAGTGAAGTCTCCTTGCTTGAAACTCTCAAAACAACAACCTCCTTTGGTCCTTCTTGTTGGATCACTTCTCCTCCTTAGCAAAATCACAACAAATGGCTCAAGATGGCTCTCTCTCTCTCTCTCTCTCTCTCTCTCTCTCTCTCTCTCTCTTCACACGCTCAAATATGCTATGGTCCTTTTCTCTTGAAAGGGTGGTCGCAAATGAAGGCCATCAGGACCCTTAAATAGAGCACATACCCAAGGATTTAGGGTTTCTATCAACAACACGAACTCGTCGAGTCCATTCGCCGACTCGTCGAGTCCACTCATTAATCCCGAGTCATCATTCGCGATCCTACTCGATGAGTTAGGGCATCAACTCGTTGAGTCACTCCTCATATCTCAAAATAAATAATCATATGATCATACCTAGGAATCCGGATGTTACACATTCAAAATGTCCTTCCGGACTTGTAAAAGCAGTCCATTCTATGCTATTAGGATACATTTTTATTTGCCAAAAACCAGATTTTAAATCAAATTTGCTAAATACTTTACAATTTTGAACTCTATTGATTAAAACATTTTTGTCTTGTATGTTACAAGAATCGTCGATTGTATTATCATTTTGTCTTTTATAGTTAATTACCATGCTACTTTTTTCTCTTACTTTTTCTGAATGTTTTTTACTATGAATGTTGTAGAACTATGAGGACTATCATATTTTCTTATGACTTCTAATTTTAATAGTTCTGAAATATGTAATTTGAAATCATCTATATCTTTGTTATTTGGTTCTATATTTTTAGTTCTGATTATGTATTCTAGATTTTTGATTTTTAATTCACATACTGTTTTATTATTCTCCAAA